GAGGATTGGCGAAGTTCCTACGTTTTCAGGAAACAGTCATGACTCGCTAGTTACTTTCTCCAACAATGCATCATACTATGGTTGTTAAGCAGCGAGTTACGTTGTTGTCGGGAATTGCGTCCTGGGACATCTTCTTGCATTCGTAGACCAATCGAAGTGAATTAGAGAAAACCTACGATTTCTATGAACAAAATTGGTGCGTTGATGCTGCTCAGGATGCTTGTGATCCCCACCTGTCGTGTCCGTACGGGACGTGATCGGGAACACGCTGAAGTCCATCCGAGGAAAACTATCCAGAGAGAGCAACAGCGAGGACGAGTCGGTGCCGCAGTGCTATTGATTTATTTTAATTAGCAGCTCGTTAAATCGTGCCAGTTTGCAAAACAAACATATAAGTCTGAGTCTGGTTTTCCACCAGGGTTTTAATGAGTTCTGCACCCCAGAACCCAGAGCACAGAGACAGACAGAAACCTCCTCGAGAGCTGCACCGAAGACAGCAGAGAGTGAGACAGCTGGAGAACACAGACAGAAGACAGACAGACGGGGAGAAACAATCTACCTCTCCCGCCGCAGAAAACTATGTAAACACACAGACACACACTCACACTCACACACACACTCACACACACTCACACAGACACACACACACTCACACACTCACACACACACACACACACACACACACACACACACACACACACACACACACACACACTCACACCACTCTTGCACTCGTAGTAAATCAAACGGCGGGTGAGGTAATGCTCGTCTCACCACTCCTGTTTTAACTTAAAGAAGAGAGTGAGAGAGAGAGACAGTCTGTCTCTCTGTGATAAATGGACAGACAGCTCTGGTGTGTGTTTGGCCTGTGGACACATGTTTGACCCTGTTAGTGGGTGTAAATTGAGGAATTGTTTGCTTTGATTAAACCTGTGCCGCCCGGCGTTAATCTGCGCACACTTCCTAGGTCAAAGTTGACGGCGGTGCTGTCCGCTTCCTCCCTCGAGCCCTCGCTGTTTTCTCTGTTTATTTCATTATCTATTTATTTGATTTTGAGCCTCATTAAAGAGTAACTTCATTAGTTTTGGTTGGTTGGGTCTGTTTTTCTGGCAGGATGGGATGTTTTTACTGACGAGCAGATGCGGGGTGAGGCGGGTGCGCTGGGTTTGAATTCTCGCAGCTTCAGAGGCTCGTGAATGTCCCGTCAAACCAGTGACCCTGTTTCCGATTGGCCGGGCTCTCGTCTCACCCTCCTGGCGTGATTGGCCGGGGCCGGGCAAGCGCGGTTTGGTTTGGGGTTTTCAGGAAAGGAATGCTGACGACAGGGCCGTTACCATGTGTGGCAGCAGGGCTGCGCGGCACGGCTCACACACACACACACACACTCACTCTCTCTCACACACACACACACACACACACTGATCACGTGACTCCTGCTCTTTGTCAGGAATTCCACGATCGGCCGGTGAGACTCGTGGTCTGTCGGTCGCTCCTCTCACGAGAGTTTGGCTGCTGAACGTGTGTTTGTAGTGAGGTCTGTGGATGTTGATGCAGCTCCACGCTCGAGCGAGGTCAAGTGGCCTCCTGCAGTTCTGAGTCCATGTGTGTTTGCACTGTCTGATTACACATGTGCTTTATAAAACCAGGAGACAAGAAAACTTGCACCAACAGAGTACAAAAAAAGAATTTGAGCTAAGTACAGTTATACAACACACACACATATATATATATAAATAATTTAAAAAATATTCAATTGTAATAAAAATAATAAGTAAAAGGGTCACAAGGAACAGGGTTGAATATGTAGCCTAAATAGAGCTGTTATTCAGTATGTAGTAAAAAAAATATTTTTGTATGTATTTTTATTTCTCACAGATTGAAAAAAAAAAAAAAAAAAAAAAATATATATATATATACATGTATTTTTTTTGTTTGTTTGTTTTTTAGTGAATGTAATAAAGGAGTTGTTGAACGAAGTCAACAAAAAACAAATACGATTATTTAATTAATATAAGGTTTTTTGTGCAAATATTATAAATTATTGCAAATATATATATATATAAAATGTATTTAATTTTAAATTATGTTTTGGGTAATTAAAATGAGTTAATAAGTAAACAGTTTCTACAGTGAATTTCATATATCAATTCAACAGCTTATGTTATGATGAGACTGTTGTTTGTTTTCACTGAAGGTTGAGACCGCTGAAAAGAAACAGACAAAAATCATTATTTTAGAGAGACATTACAGATATTCAATTTGTTTTAATCTACCTTGTTATTGCATGCTAATGACTAGTTTATCTTAGATTAATAGTTCTTCAAAAGAACATGATGTTTGACTTATTATTTTAAAAGGTAATGGGACCCTATTAGTGGAAAGTGGCACAATGTAAAACTGTTTTCTCATGCTCTTGCAGACAGAGTGTCAGAGGGACTTCAGAGCATTGAATATTCTGTGCTGCGTCTCATGGAGTGTTTGTCTTTGTAGTGAGCGGCAGTAAAGGACACATTCTGTGGCATATCCAGAGAAATGACCCTGCCGCGACCCTTAACCTCTCCTTTAATTATTTGTTTGAAGACAGCATGGGGTTCCCATGCGGAGCGCAGCGGCAGGCGGGGGAGTGTGTGTGTGTGTGTGTGTGTGTGTGAGAGTGTGTCTGTGTCTGAGTGTGTGTTTCTGAGGGTTCAGTTCCTCTGCTGTAGCTTATGCAGCTTCAGTAAGGAGTCTAACAGATAGATGTACTGAATCATCACAATGCCTATTAGTTCAATATTTATGTAAACTATGTTTTACCATTTTTGTGGCATATCTTTAGTATTTGGTACATTTGTTTTGTTTGTAAATTTTAGGTGTGTTTATATTTGATTTATGTCTCTATAACTAATTCATTATTTTAAGTATGCATTAAATGTATGTTTAATTTCATATGTGTTGTGAAAAATATAAATCAAAATTTGTAGACAGAAATAAAGGCCTGGGTTTGTGGTGTCGTGTGGTCAGAATGCAGTGTGTGTGTGTGTGTGTGTGTGTGCTGGCGGGTGTTGTTGTAAGCACACCCCATTAGCAGCTCATGGGAGGAGGTGAAGCTGTTATCAGAGGCAGGTCTGATAATCTCAATTGGCTTTACTCACACTGATAAAATGCTCTCTGGGGCCGTAGCACTGCTGGGCTGCTCCTGCAGGGTTACTGTGGCAACAGTTTGGAGAGGCAAAACAGACACTGTGAGTGTATGTGTGTGTGTGTGCGTGTGTGTGTGTGTGCGTGCGTGCGTGTATAGAATAGAAACTGTATGAATAGAAAGTTCAAAAGAAAAGCATTTATTTGAAATATAAATATTTTGTTACATTATAAATGTATTTTAATGCATCCTTGCTGAATAAAAGTATTACTTTATCTTTCTCTTAAAAAAAAAAATGGAAGTTTACTGTCATTATACACAAATATTTGACCACAGGGTAACATGACGGACACATGGATCACAATAGTAAATTACTGCTGTTTATTTAATAAATGTGTGAGTGTGTGATGAATGGTACAGGTGTGTGTTTGTGTGACAGATGATCTCGATACCCACACACCATGTATTTAAACTTCTGTCACTCATTTATATCTGCTATCTGAGTGCCGGTTGCTCGGTGCTAGTGCTCCTTTAGCAGCTGTCCTGTCTTTCAGACAAAGAAAGCAAACTTATTCCTCTTTTCCCAGCTGTGCGTGCAGTGAACTTCAGCATGTCATTGTGAAAGCACAGATTGCGGGCATTTAAGTTAATGGAAGGTAAGAGCATGTACGGCGGCTTCAGGAGAGATTAGAGCTCAAATTGATTCCAGTCCTGCTTGTATCTAATGACCGGTCCCTTAGAGTCGCCCTGTGTGCGCTCGGCCGCTTCTTTCATGCGGGATAGCCCCAGCATGATCCGAACCCTCGCTGTAATATCAAACACATGTGGGCACCTTTAACGCTCGCTCCTTTAGCACGGGTCTCTCCCGGCGCGGAGCAACCGTTTGCCTTTGACACGGCCCATTCCGCATTAAAACGGTTCCCTGGGCTGGCACTGACCTCCCGATGACCCCAGCGGCCCGGCGCTCAAAAGCTGCAGGAGAGGTTTTGTGGAGCTGCACTTATTTGCCGTCGTGCTGGTGATAAAACTTCAGACAGGCTAATTGATGGCCTTGCTGTCATAACAATAGCTGCTGAAAGCCTGGAGCTCATTTACAGACAGCTGGAGAGGAGAGAGACCCCTGCCACGGGCCCTTACCAGGGGGCAGGGGACCCACTCAAAGGGCCGTTTGTATCGCGAACTTCGGACTCCTTCTGAACACCTTGTGAGCGCTAACACATGAAGAATAATGTTTGTGCAAGCATGCGTGCCTCGCGGGTCCTCAGTCTCAGTTGCTTGTTTGATGAAGTTTCTCTAGAAGAGTATAGAGCTTTAAAATGAACCTGGAGAACAGCTCAGATCATTTGAAGAGAAATGGTTGTGATCTCGCTTGGCAGATCTGAGCGTGTTGTTGAGATCTCATGTGAGATTATGTTTTGAGAAGCAGGAGACTTCTCCACTTATCTGATTGTTGTCTTTGAGAAACCATTCCAGATCTCATTTGTGTTTTGTCTTTTTACAGGCAGAGTTTTTTGATAAACTACTCAGACACTTTCATTTATTAAAGTCAGAGAATCAGATTCTCAAATTCATCAAATACGAACCTTCCTGAACTCCTGAGTTTGAGCGTGTATGTTGTTTTCTGGTTTATCTGGACTGGCAGTACTCGAGTAGACGAGACGAGTCCATCTCAAGTCCAAGACCATATATTTTATGATTGGCCGAGACCAGCTCATTCGAATCCAACTCCAGGCCGAGTCTAAATGCTCCAGAATTGATCTTCAAGTAGTACAGTACTGCTAACTGCTAATGCTACTAATACTAAGTGTTTAATATCAGCCACATGTTGAGTTTGTGATGGCAGGTGATGTAATGGGTCTTGTGTTTCTTCTGTTTGCAGGTTCATTAATGCCAGAAGAAGAATAGTGCAGCCCATGATTGACCAGTCAAATCGAGCAGGTAAATCTGAGCCATCTGATCTTCTCTGATGTTCTCAACACTGTTTGTGTCTCACTTGAGAGTCCTTGAGCACGTCTCTCCCGTGTCTACGCTCCAATGAGAGCAGATTGAATCTAATTGGTTGTTTCTCCATCTCGCTGGTTAGAGGGACATTAGTGCATCTCAGTGCTAATTGGCCACAGGAGAACTTTACAGTAATTCGGGAGCGTTTCACCGTTTCCCTTTGTGTTATGGTACATTAGAAAGCGATTTGCAATAAGCATTCAGGAGTTCACATAAGGGAAATTCTGTAGTTTTTGAGTTATTGATGGCTTTCTGAAGTTGTGATGATTTGAGTAAGAGATTGCACAAATGAATTTATTAGGATTTCCGCAGTGAGGATAAACAGTAAGCATCTGAATGAAATGTACAGGTCATATAGCAGTGGTGTTTTTACTGATGAATGTAGATGCAGATCTTCATGCACAGTTCCATCGACAGCTTTAGTACCAGTGTGTGGTTTCTAGATCTCTGACACGCTATGATCTCCTGAACCCAAGACCAGTGAAGCAAGTCAAGAGATAGACATCATTCAGTGCTGCTGGACAGTTATGTTGACGTAACCTTCTCTTGTCCTGTTGATGCATACGTTGGAGAATGGCGTGTGTGTGTGTGGCTGATTGTGTTTGGGCTGCTGCTGGGATAATCGCTGATTGTCTGGTGTGTCTTCTCTCTTCTTCCCCTGGTGTCCACGTTTGACTTCACTCAGGTTTTCTTCTTGATCCTTCAGTGAGCCAGGGAGCGGCGTACAGTCCGGAGGGGCAGCCCATGGGCAGCTTTGTGCTGGACGGACAGCAACACATGGGCATCCGGCCGGCAGGTGAGATGCAGTCACCTCTGAGATCTCTTCAACATCTTCTCTGGTTCTTTTAGACCAGGGGTGTCCAATTCTGCTCCGGAAAGGCCAATGTCACAACCTGTCCTGCCTGGAGGTTTCTAGTAATCCTGATGACCTTGACTAGCTGGTTAAGGTGTGTTTGATCAGAGTTGGAGCTGAACTCTGCAGGACAGTTGACCTCCAGGAGCAGGATTGGACACTCTTAGTAAATTGGGGCCTCCTGGTTCTTAAATGTTTCTCTTCCAGTAATCTCAGGTGTCTCGCATAGAGTGAGATTCAGGAGAAAAAATATCTCAGACTGCTCAGAAGATTGCACTCAAAAGACTCCTCTCTCTTCAGATGATCATCTTGGCTGCTATCCATATCAATTTTAACTAAAGTTTAGGAAGACAAAATCATAAACTCCTTACCTGAGCAATCTCTGAGCAGGACCTTGTTGTCATTTTGCTCTTCTCGTGTGTGTTTGGGACGTTGGGCTCTGCTGGGCACTGATTGTCTGTGCTGTTTGTCTCTGCAGGTCCTATGAGTGGCATGGGCATGAATATGGGCATGGATGGCCAGTGGCACTACATGTAACAGCTGTACAGTAAAGAAAAGGGGGAAGTAAGTACACTGGGACTCTTTTCTTCCCTTGCCTTTCTTTCAAGAGCTTTCCTGTCCGTTTCCTGTCAGAATTCCCCTGAAAGCCCAAAATAACACCATAGACGCTCCTCTTTACGGCCGGCCTGTGATTGCTAAATATCAGGGCAGCAGAAAGAGTCAGGTGAGACGCGGGTCGTGCGATGTTTCCTGGACGGCCTAGAAAAAAAACAAGGCAGAAAAGCACTAAAGTGGAATTTATTTATCGCTGCAGCGGTGCCGCGCTCCACGTCTCATGCGGCCAATGCAAATGTTGGACATTTGGGGGAAAAAAATAACATCTCCTGGGGTAGAATATGACGGGGTGAAATTAAGCGGGCTCCAGTGAAGCGATAAAAAAGGAGAAGTGAAACTGTCCTCAGAGTGACATAAATCCGTCAGGGGAAGGATTGATGCCCAAATTATCTTATATGCAAAGACGGGAGCAGTGCAGTACATTACGCTCCCGGAGAGAGATATAGAGATGGCGGGTGACACAGCCATCCTTCACCGGGGGAAGCCGCGTGTCTTTTCTTTTTTACTGGGAACGGAGGGAATGGGAATATCTGCAGAAGGGAGCGCGTGGGCTATGGGAGGATGGCATTAAAGACGCACGACCGCATGTAAACGCAGAGATCTCCTCGTCTGATTAAGACGCCCATTACGCTGCCCGCCGGCGCCGCGCCACTGACATTTGAGAAATCAAGACGTACGGCGTCCCAAAGGTGGCAGGGCAGAGAAGATTTTATTTAACACCTCTACTTCCTGCTCAATGAGCCTCAATGTAATAACACTTTGCTTGATTAAAAGAACCCTTTATATGTAAATAGACGGCAGTTTCCTGTAGGTCACCATAGCGATGCTGTGACGAAGCCCCCACCTCGTTAATAGGCTCTGAAACGTGGCGAGCGTGTTCCCTAAAACAGCCGCAGAGATAACATTTGCTCGGCTTGGGTAATTTTTAATGCGGCGCGGGATAATTTTGAGACTGTTTAATTACATAACATATTTTATGCATCATGAGCAATTAGATTAATAGCTTAATACAGAGGAATATTAGCCATCTCTGATTCGATTACGCACACACACAATATGCCGTATTTGCTGTTTAATTATGATTGGCGATGGAGCACGCTTAGAGAGGTGTGCTGTTACTAAAAGATGCAGATGACGACGGTTTACAGCGTCACACACGTCTGCTGCAAATTTAAAGGGAAGAGCTGCAGGTTATGTATTTAACGGATCGCTTTGCATGTCTGATGAGTGTGTGGAGAATGTGTGCAGTTTCTTCTCAAATACTTGGCCTGCGCTGTTCTTTAATTGCGACATACGGTGTTATAGGAATGGGCAGTGAGTGCCTGATGACCTTGGAGTGACCCCGTCCCCCTCCTTTAAATTACTGTTTTTAATGCCCCTGGGGTCACGTTACAAAGCACTGGTGTCCTGCATGTCAATTGCACTTCTGTGAACTGTTCGGCTTCAGCAGCTCAGTGCTACAAATGCATTTCACCAGCACTGATTCTACACACGCATCTGTCCTCGCCGTTTTCTTTATGGTCTACGGCTCAATGTAAGATCTTGTCCTGTATTATAAGCAGATATTGCACTGTTCCCTGAGCGGTGTGTTGTTAGCCAGCCCCTAAATAATTGAGCAAGTTGGTAAAGGAACTTAAATCAAATCTGTACGCAGCGGCGCAGCTCGTTCTGTCACTCAATTTTGTCTGGGATTCGATCACTCTGAACGCTGATAATTTTAATATTATGAGGTTTCCACAAGATCCATATCACTTCTCTGCATTGCGCCCACAATGCCAAGGTCATGGGTTCGATTCCCAGAGAAGGTAAAATGCATGCATTGTTCTGCTACGTGATTGAAGATGGATAAGTGAAATGAATGCTACATCTAGGTGTCTTCTAACACGCGTGCACAAGTCGATGCACCGAGCAGAGATGCAGGCCATTATTAAACGTCTCTGCTCAAGTGTGCTCTTTGTTTGAAATATCTTTAGCCGCACTGGCTGCAGACGCGTGGCCTGAATCTAGATCAGGGAGCTGCGATCGCATTCGTCTTGCACCGCTGACTGTGTGTTTCTCTGAATCTCAGGTCTGCGAGGCGTGCCGGGGGAGTTCGTACCTCAGCGTGGTCCTGTGGGCATGAGCATGGCATCACCAACCCACCCCCCCTCCACCGAAAGCCCCTCGTTTCTTGTGTTTGTCACACCGAGCTCCTCGTCACCCTCCGACCCGTGCGGCCATGCTAATGCACGGAGACCCCCCTCGAGCAGAAATGACCACGACTCCTCTGACCCCCTGACCACAGCGCTGCTGGACCGGCGTGGGCGTCCACAGCCAATGACCGAAGGGAACCAACCAATACCACCACGGATGAACTGGACAATAACCCCACGAAAGGTTTTTGAAGGAAAAGAGAATGTGGTGAAGTATCCGAAGCTTCACGTGGAATTCCAGACGAGCTGTGATCGTTTTTTATCTTGTGAATTTTGTTACTTTTGTTGCTGGAGGACCAAGAGCTGACAGAAACACTTTGTAAAGTCTTGGGTGTCTGTTCAAATCAACAGAGGATCTTTCAACTTATTAAAAATACACACACACACACACACATCATAAAGAAAAAAAAAAGACAAAAGAGACTCCAAGAGTTCAAACTACTGTAGTATAAAAGCATAGAAACTAAATTAAATCTTGTAAATTTTTATCATCACTCACTTTATGTTTCATGAGCTAGTCCTAGAGTAAATCGTTGGCCTGTTTTTCACACTGTGTGTGCGGATCCCCGAATCTAGATCAGGGAGCTGCGATCGCATTCGTCTTGCACCGCTGACTGTGTGTTTCTCTGAATCTCAGGTCTGCGAGGCGTGCCGGGGGAGTTCGTACCTCAGCGTGGTCCTGTGGGCATGAGCATGGCATCACCAACCCACCCCCCCTCCACCGAAAGCCCCTCGTTTCTTGTGTTTGTCACACCGAGCTCCTCGTCACCCTCCGACCCGTGCGGCCATGCTAATGCACGGAGACCCCCCTCGAGCAGAAATGACCACGACTCCTCTGACCCCCTGACCACAGCGCTGCTGGACCGGCGTGGGCGTCCACAGCCAAATGACCGAAGGGAACCAACCAATACCACCACGGATGAACTGGACAATAACCCCACGAAAGGTTTTTGAAGGAATGTGGTGAAGTATCCGAAGCTTCACGTGGAATTCCAGACGAGCTGTGATCGTTTTTTATCTTGTGAATTTTGTTACTTTTGTTGCTGGAGGACCAAGAGCTGACAGAAACACTTTGTAAAGTCTTGGGTGTCTGTTCAAATCAACAGAGGATCTTTCAACTTATTAAAAATACACACACACACACACACATCATAAAGAAAAAAAAAAGACAAAAGAGACTCCAAGAGTTCAAACTACTGTAGTATAAAAGCATAGAAACTAAATTAAATCTTGTAAATTTTTATCATCACTCACTTTATGTTTCATGAGCTAGTCCTAGAGTAAATCGTTGGCCTGTTTTTCACACTGTGTGTGCGGATCCCCGAAGCAGAGGAGCTGGATCGCGGCAGTAACGGGAGGCCGGTGAATCCGCCCCGTCACGGACCACAGCACCGACTGAAGCCCGCTCTCTTCACGAGACCCCTCCTCTTTTTCCGTCATGCATTTTCTCTTTTTGGTCCATGAATGAATGTTGCCCTGTAGGTGAAGTTCTTTGTTTGAATTGCCCAAGCACTGGATTGTGTTGCTTTTATACGTTTTTATTATTATTATTATTATTATTATTAATTTTGTATCTCGGACTCTCAGAGTAAGAGCCTTATGAAGGACGTGTATCCATCCTGCAGCAGTTGAACGTCTGGGGATCGATATATCTGCCGATACCGACACGTGATCCTGTGGCACACACAACAGAGACGCGGTGAACAACTTTAAAAGGATGAAAAAAAAACTTAAATTATGAACTCAAAGCTCGGTGAGAAGCTGAGACAACATTGTAAGAAACTTCGTACAGAGTTCAGTCTATGAATTGTTTCATGTTAGATATTCTATGTGTTTACCTCAACTGAAGACGAATGTTTTTGCTAGTTTGAGATCTGCTGTGGCATTGATATTGTTCTGTCCTTCCTTTCTCAGCACGTGCTCCACTAGAAGATGAAATACTCTCCCTCGAGCTTTGTCAGAAATACATTCAATACTTGTATGAGGACTGTGGCGTGATGTGTCGAAGGTGTTCAGTCACAAATGCTGTAATAAATATTTCATTTTTGATTTTGGTATTCTTGTGTGCTGTACAGTGTGTTGCACATGGAAATGACATCAAATCTGTAATACATAATAGCTCATATTTAATGCATTATTCTTGTTTAATAAGCTTAGAAAGAATTCGGACAGTTTTTCAGCAGCCTATTGTTGTCGTGTAAAGGATCGTGGCGTGTTAATGTTCTCTAAATCCGATCCTGCACTGAAGATGTTGGGGCAGATTGGGGTTTAAGGGGGCACATGTGCAGGGTGCGTCCCACAGACTGAGTGAGACTGACGGGGTTCGAGTCTCCGCGGCGCCTCCTGCTGGCGCCTCGTTCACACTACACGCGCTGCGCCACGGCACAGCATCACTATTATTATCATTATTGTTACAAACAGCATTTATACACACTAGTAAAATGATGAATGGCGATTACAGTAACGAGGACGCTCACGTGCGCAATAAAAGCAACGAATAAAACGCGCTAAACATTAAAACTCTTTTCCAGGAAAATGTGAATGTAATGCAAACGTTTCAAGAGCTTGATGTGAAAGTTAGTCTTTCTTCAATACTTGCATGTGTAATATGTTTTTCTGAATATGTCCTGAAGGCTTCGTTTGAGCGCTCGATGCGTGAAAGAGAGCAGACGTCTTTATTTCCCCAAAGCAGCAGGCTCTTCATTAGCTGTAAAAAAGCCGAATTACAGCAGGTTATTAATCATTTAAAATCATACCAGCGGTAATTATTAATTTACTAAATAATAGCATTCGAAAATATATCACTGCAAGTAAATATCCAGCAGTCTGCAGTCGCGTGAGAGATTTCATCGCCACATTAAACATCTCCTGCAGATCTATATGAATAAAAAAAATAAAGAGCTGCGTTTTGCGCTGTTTTCATTAGCGCTGCGCAATTTAATTCTATACATTTATTGTATGTATTTAAGTGTAGGCTATTTATTCACCAAGAATCACAAACGAACAAATATCATTTTAATGCCTGTTCATTCGAGAAAACGGACGTGCAAATAATTCTTTTTGAAATTCTAAAAGATATGCTGAAAGAACAAGACAGGAGGAGAAGTGAAAGGAAGGGCGGCATCATTGTGAGCTGATCTGAATATTAATAAGGGACAGGAGGTGGATTGAACTGCGCCTGTGACAGGAATGATGGATGATCCGGCCTTCATCATCACCATCATCATCATCATCATGTCAGAGTCACGGGATTGAATGCAAGAACACAGAAGCAGAAGAACTGTTCGCAGTAAACAGCAGAAAACGAGCAGGTGAAGTCTGCAGCAGTGATCGGATCGTTTCTCACACACCGCCGAGGAACCCGACTCTTGATTAGATCACATATAAAGCAGAGCCCGTGTTCCAGCTGAAGCGGCATCTGCTGCGTGTGTGTGTGTGTGTGTGTGTGTGTGTGTGTGTGTGTGTGTGTGTGTGTGTGTGTGTGACTGTGGGCCCCGGGGGTCACGCGCAGAGGCCCCTGATCATTAATCACTGTCAGCATCACAGTGATTCTCTATTGATGAGGATAATGACATTAGCTCACAGTCACTGATCAATAAAGCACATGCAGGGGAATAATAGCTCTCCCTCTCACTCTTTCTCTTCCTTCTGTTCTTCATTTAGAAACAGTGAGCAGAGTACACAAAGCCTGCATCAGTGGATCTGCATATCTTCAGCTCAAAGCACAGCAAACACAGATTCTCATACCTCACGCTCATCTGACAGAAGCCTCACTGATAATTCATAACTGAAGATTTAATGTCGTCAGCACGTCAAAAAAAAGGATATTTGTATTTTTTTCGTATTTAGTTTCACACCGATGACAAAGACGATTTTAAAACAATAAATACAGCAAAAATACATAAAGCACGTGATGAGCGGGTTCAACATTACGCGCACATAATTTATGGCAGCTACTGTCAGATAAACATACATTCTGCAAATAATACTAGCTATTATTAATGTGAGTATTATTATATAGTTATAATTATTTTTTTGTTTAGGCTTATTTCCTATTATTATTTTACCTTTCATTACTATTATTATTATATTTCTTGACAGAAAATGCTTTATTTTATATAGGTTAATTTACTGGACATAATTAATGTTGATCACTGATGAAGATCTGACGTCACACAAACAGCATTTATCATTGAACTCAGGGTATTTCTATTGTTCTTGCATATGGCAATAATAATAATAACAATAATAATAATAATAAATAACAGAAGTACAAAAAGGCCGTATACATTTCTGCGGGATTTTCATCAGTGTTTGATCGAATTAAAGGTTTTTAAATTAAATAATGAGTCATTAGAGACGGAGGAGCAAAAATATTAATCTCTGAAATGCACTTTTTTTTCAGGGACTACGGAACAAAAAATATATAAGCTATTTTACTGAAAAACAGGCGAAATAAATAATAACTAAATAAAGCGGTGTGCTTGTCAAAAGTCAGACAGAAAGGCTGTATATGTGTGTGTGTGTGTGTGTGTGTGTGAGAGAGAGAGAGAGAGTGTGTGTGAGTGTGTGTGAGTGTGAGAGAGAGAGAGAGAGTGTGTGTGAGTGTGTGTGAGTGTGAGAGAGAGAGAGAGAGTGTGTGTGAGTGTGTGTGAGTGTGAGAGAGAGAGAGAGAGTGTGTGTGAGTGTGTGTGAGTGTGAGAGAGAGAGAGAGAGTGTGTGTGAGTGTGTGTGAGTGTGAGAGAGAGAGAGAGAGTGTGTGTGAGTGTGTGTGTGTGTGAGAGAGAGAGAGTGTGTGTGTGTGTGTGTGTGAGAGTGAGAGTGTGTGTGTGTGTGAGAGAGTGTGTGAATGTGTGTCTGTGTGTGTGTGAGTGTGTGTGTGTCTGTGTGTGTGTGAGAGTGAGAGTGTGTGAGTGTGTGTGAGAGAGAGTGTGTGAGTGTGTGTGTGTGAGTGTGTGTGAGAGTGAGAGTGTGTGAGTGTGTGTGTGTG